GCACTGCAGCAGACATTGCTCGTGTGAAATATTACAGAAACACTGTGTACGCTTATGCCGAGCGCGCTTCAGTTGATGAAGCGGAATTCAACCAATACTGGTCTGACATCCGGAACGCTCTAGTAAGACTGGGAGGTATTAAGTATCAGAAAGAGATTAAAAATCTTGAAACTGCTTGCATAGACCCTGAAACTGAAGATAAATACAAAGAACTTCTTGAAGAATTGCAGAAGAGTGTAGAAGGTATCACGTATAAACTGGACAAGTTGGGAAACCAAATCGGGACTATTGAAGACTATCTATCGAAACTATCGAAGAAAGTATTAAACAATGGTATGTAAAATGTCTCTCCATAGTTATCCTGTCAATTATTTCGATAAATTAGGTAAAACATTTTTGATATTATTATACCGATATTAATGCAGTACTAGGAATTCTCCTGTTTCAAAAATATGATATCCTCACCACATAGTGAACAAACCATTTATATTTTAAGATGGAAAGATACCAAGGTCGTCATGGGAACCGAGTTTATCAACATCATTTTTGTGAGCGAGGATGAATAAACGTCTTCTGAAAGCAAACTGTCTTTCTTAAATTAACAGGGATCATTTGAGTAGCTCCTCTGAGGGCGGAGAAGTAAGACAGGTGGGGTAGTTTAAGTGCTGTATAGTGGTTTCTATGCCATTAACTGAAAAAAAACCCTATAATTAAAATTGCTACGTTACATAGCTATTACAGTTCTGATTTCAAGCTAAAACATTTAGAAATTCCTAAGCTGTCAAAGTCATAACGTGTAATGGCCACATTTGAACGAAACCTCGTAAGGACTGTAAAGAGTAGGCTGTTTTTAGTTTATCTGTCACAAAGTTAGGCCTGTAAGCATAGCAGGATCAAAAAAATGCTGAATAAATGTTACAGCCTTCAATGTACCATGCTGGACAAAAAAGAGGATGAAAATGATATTGATGAACATTTGACTAAGTGATTTCTATCAAACTGGTGCTTTTGTATTGAATAAAAAGTTTCAGTGGACAACTTGCCCAGGGCTTCATGATTTCTTAATTTAGAATTGCTTACCTTCACCCACAACACCATACTGTTTGTTATCCCTGGTTAGCAGCATACCCTGAGATCAGAAAAATCAGCACAGGTCTATGCTACACCATGAACACTATGGACTGATTGTAGCTATTCTTGAAATTTGAGCTGAAATTTAAAAAAATGCATCCCTAAAAACAAAGCATATTAACCTTACAAAAGTTTTCAGATGACCTAGAGCATATGACAATTATTCTTAAGAGTGTAATATATATATATATATAAAAGTTTAGTCACTATAATTGAAAAGATACAGATTTATGTCATTGTTAAAATTGAATTCAAGATGAAACAGCATTAAGCTACTGTTACAGAAGGGACTGTTACAGAAGGGACATGTTTGTTTGTTCATGAAGTTGTACTGAAAAAAACCCTGAAAAGGTAAACATCCCATGCAGAAAACACTTCGTTGTTCATAAACATTTTTCCTATGTGTTT